CAAAACGACCGGTCGGGTCATTACATGCCATGTGTAGACTGAGTAGATATACTCATAATTCCAACAACGAGCATCGGTCTGCATTAGCCAGAGTAATGAAATATTTGAAAGGAACCATGAATTATGGTATCCTATATAGTGGATTTCCTTCTACTTTAGAAGGGTACAGTGATGCAAACTGGATCTCTGATTCAGATGAGACAAAATCCACTAGTGGTTATGTATTCACCCTTGGTGGTGGTACAATATCGTGGAAATCAGCTAAAGAGACGATCATTGCTAGATCGACTATGGAATTAGAGTTTGTAGCTCTAGAGTTAGTTGGTTCTGAGGTTGAGTGGCTAAGAAACCTCTTAGCTAATATCCCTTTAATAAAGGACGCATTGCCTCATGGGTCTATGCATTATGATTGTCAAGCGGCAATAGCTATTGCAAAGAATAAATCTTATAATTGTAAAAGTAGACACATGAAATTGAGACATGATGTCATAAAACAGCTGTTAACATATGGAATAATTTCCATTGACTATGTGAAGTCAGAGATAAATTTGGCCGATCCTTTTACTAAACTTGTGGGAAGATAATTAATTCTTCAAACCTCAAAAGAGATGGGGTTAAGGCCGACATGTTGTCAATAGAGATGGTAACCCGACCTATGTGATTGGAGATCCCATGAAGTAGGTTCATATGGGTAATAACAAGTTGATCTTGGCACTGAAGCACTAAAAAAGAGTGCTTGACTGCTACTAATTGAGAGGATGAATTATAACTCTTAATGAAATTCATAGTCCTTATGGATGGTGTATTTAAAAGCAGTACACAATTGATGAATTCACCTATATGAGAGTGGAGTGGGCCGCTCCTATGAGATTTTGGCCTAGTCTCTAGAGCTCTCATGAATAACCAGGCACGTGTATGACCTATTGGGCGCAAAACCGCGTTGAACAACAAAATTGTGAGGGTCGAAATGTGATTGATAAAATCTCTTACTTACAATAAGAATTATTGGTTCATAGAAATATTATATTTTACCAGTAATTCTGTGAGTTAAATTTTATTGATCTAAGTTTGGTTTATAGTCCAAAAGATACCAAACCCATTACATTTGGACCATGCAAAACCAACAAGTCAATTCTTCCATTCCTTTATCCTTCTCCTATAGATTTTGAAAATATGTGGGGACTGTGGGAGTATTTTTAAAATTTTAAATAGCCATGTGTCTTTTTATTTTACAAGTGTCCTACCTATTTTCAAGTGGCTATGAATATCTACCATGTGGCCTTTTGCATGAAGATATGTGGACAAATGGCTAAGCCATAAACAAGTGGCAATCATCTTTCATGCAATTAAACACTTGGCAATTTTAAGAAGACCCCGAGTATCTCTATAAATAGCCTTCTTGTTCATCAGTAAGAGATATCAACAAAAATTGATCTTTTTTACACTTTTCTTAGTTAATCATTGCTTTCTTCTTTAGCTAATCATTACTATAATTATTATTCCCACTATTGACCAAATCATTATCTCTTGTAATTATTTCTTTCCTCCGATTTATTCCAAAACTTGCTGGTATTATTTAATTTTGCTGATTCTTGTATCCTCTAAATAAATAGAGGTAGGCTTGTTTAATCCTGGGAAAATATTTTACATTGTTGAAATAGTTTCTTAGGACAGTGCCCAGCACGACTCAAGTTAATTCGTGTATTTTCGCTCACAAATATTATTGCATTATTATTATTATTATTATTATTCCGTATTATTTCCCTACAGGTATATAATGTAAAACATGCATTGAAGAGGAAGACTTCTTATTAGAGTTTGCATTCAAGTTATCAGATGAGTTATGTGTAATATCTCTTTGAGAGGAGAAAGTGGGAGAATAATCAAGATTATATGATTTGAAGTCATAGTCTTTTAAGAGAAAAGGAGTCTCGGAGTTACTAGGAAACATTTAGAGATACGGAACTATGCTTTTGACAAATTTAACATGCCTAGAAATTAGAACTTTATTAGTGGTAGGATCCAAGCACTTGAAACCTTTATACTTGGTGGAAGTTCCGAGAAACAAGCATGGAATTGAATGAGGTTCGAATTTATTTTTATGACCAAGAGCAGTAAACAGAAAACATAAGCAACCAAATACTATAACAAAGTTATAATCTGGGGAACAACTAAAAAATATTTCATAAGGTGAACTATAGATATGAACTAGAAGAGGGGAAATATTGATTAAATCAGTAGCAAAAAGACAAGCTTCTACCTAAAAGGAGAATGACATAGAAGCTTGAATAAAAGACATCGCAAAATATTATTAATATGACGATGTTTCCTCTCTACACGTCCATTTTGGGTAGAGGTGTGAGGAAAAAAGAAACGATGAAGGATGCCACGGTCCTTGACGAAACTTTAAAATTTGTGATTATCATATTCCTTTCCTCCATCAGATTGAAAATACGAAATAGAAGAATGAAAAATATTCGCAACCATAAGATAGAATTCTTTGAAGTTGTCAAAGGCCTCAATTTGTCTTGCATCAAATAAACCCAAGAAAATTTGGTGTAATCATCAAGAAAAAGAATGTAATAACGATAAGCGGAACATGAGGGTAGGGAAGCTTGCCATACATCAGAATGAACTAGAACATAAGGTTTATTTTGCAAGACTAACAGAAAGATTAGAATGTAATTTTGTTTATTTTCCCAAATGACAAACAATACAAGAACTATTGTCAAAAGACAAAACATAAGGAATCAGGTTTTTATGAACTAAAGCAGCAAGAGATCGTTGACCAAGGTGCCCGCGCCTTTGATGCCAAATTGTAGGGGACGAAATATCACTGAAAAGAGCAAGGTGAGAGGACGAAGATGAAATAACTTGAAAAGGGTAAAGTGAGCCAACATTGTCACAGTGGAGCAACACTTGATTGGCCTTCTTGTCCTAAACAAAAAAATACAGTGTTAGTAAACTGAATAGTGCAGTCATTATCAGCACAAAGTCGTTGAATAGAAAGGAGATTTTTCCTCACAGAAGGGACATATAGAAAATTGCGTAAAAGTAGAGGCCTAAAAGATGTTGGAATAGTTGAAGTGTCAGTAGAGAGAATAGGAAGAAGATTACCATTACCAACCATGACTTGAGATGATCTGGTGTAGGAGGAAGAAGACGATAAGAAAGCAGGATCGTGCGTCATATGGGCTGAAGCTCCAGAGTCAGGATACTAAAAAGCAGGACAAACTTCTTCCAGGCTCATAGCTGCAAAGGACTTATGTGGCACATAAGAATGATTAAATCAATTTTTGCATTTAAGCACAGTGAATAAAATGAAAGCAAATCTGGCACTGACTAGAGGGATTATAGGGGGGACGTCCCAATACTCCAACCATAGGTGAGGGATGGCGAAATTTTTGTACATGTACTTTTATGTCCGGTGGTCCTTTGGGCACGGAGGCACGGATGATGCGGGGATTTGCCGCGAGCTGCATTTCAGGTTACGATCCGCAGCCAGCAAAGTCTTCTCTAGGGTTATTTGTATTTTTCATGTCTAATTTGTATTCCAGACAGATGCTGTATTTTATTTTACTTCCTAGTTGATACTCATGCACTTGTGACACCGGATTTTGGGGGTACTTATGAGTTGTTCAGTATTGTAGTTGGGAAGATATTATCATTTACTCTGTAAATTTTATTTATAATTATTTAATTGAAGGAAAATTTCGATTTCAAAATACTAAAATGAATAATCGAGTTAATTAACTATTGTTGGCTTGCCTGACAGTGGTGCTAGGCGCCATCACGACCATTAATGGATTTTGGGTCGTGACACATCTACTAGGGATAGAAGATTATGACTTTTAAGAACAATTAGAAAAACTTTCTTCCAAGTAAGATAATTAATGTATGTTAATTCAATAGGGACAAAACCTTTGATATTAGAAACTGTTGGAGGGGGGATGGAAAGACCAAGTGAAGATTGAGTCATGGTTGTTTGGGTGGTAGAGGAGGAGTAAATTTTTGAGACCATTGATATGGATCTTTATGGCTCTGATACCAAGATGAGATTAAGCATATGATGGCCAACTTAACTGCTAAGGCCATATAACCATATATTTATATATACGACAATACAAGTTGTACAAGCAGTCTACAAGATAACTACATAAATGAATAATTACAATAAAAGCTATCTCTATTAGAGAGATCGATATAGTATTCACTTTTAAATTGCCGTCAAAATGAATTGATTTAGCTCCCTAGTTATAGAAGAACTGAAGCCGTTAGTAAATTGCTTGCAAGCTACTTTAAGTTATTTCAAGAAATTGCTTGTAAAGCTTCTTACAGATTACATATAAGCTTCTTCAGGGAGCTGTTTGCAAATCTACTTGGAAACTTTTTCAAGAAGCTGCTTGCAAAGGTATTTATAGGCTATTTATAAGTTATTTGTGCATTTTCAGGAAGTGGTAGGAGTATTTGATTTATAATCACAATTCAGTGTGTAGGTGTGATAACACTTTTTGACCCTTATATTACTGCGAGCCATATTAAAACAAGGACCATACACATGATTTTGTTGAGATTAAAGTGTTTGGTACATAAGAAAATGTTTTTAATAATTTTTATATTTTATGACTTAAATACTGAGGAAAATATTATTACCAAATAAAATCTCCTTCAATCTCACGAAAATGACTTCCTTAGATTCTGTCCGGAAGTCATTTTCCAGATTGGTGGCCCGCTTGGATTGATTTGAGCAAATAAAACATGGAATTAAATAATTTATGTTTTAGAATAGAGTCGGTGGAGCCCACTTCTAGAAAGGACATGGAGTATGTCTCTAAGACAAATTTGCAGTACAGTTTCAATAAAATATATATTACTGAAAACGTGAAAAGGTTTTCTCAAACAATATTAATTTTGAGCAAACGTACGTCATATTCGATTATCATCTTTTTGTTCTCAACAGTTTCAACTTAAACTATTACTCCATTTACGTACTATAATAGGACGAGACTATACACACAACGAAAAAATTGGTAATGGAAGCTATTATCATTGTCTCTTAACTTTTTTTGATTAAATTTTTTGGCTACGACAAATTCAGTACTCTCCACAAGTATAGTATCTTTTTCGAGTACAAGTAGATGCATTCTCTTTATATATAAGAGTGGGTGGAGAAGTGTAGATCACAAGTGGAAAATAATGGACTACTCATGGCTCATCATCATCATTACTACTCTCTGTATCTCTTTCTTCCTCAGAAAATCCAATAACCAGAAGAACAACAAGAAACACCCCCCAGGTCCCGGACCGTTTGACTTTTCGGTCATTGGCAGCTTACTATGGGGTGTCACCAATATTGAACTCATCCTCAGGGACCTTAAGGCTAAGTATGGTCCTCTCTTCAACTTAAGAATTGGAATTATATCTCGTCCTTCGATATTTGTTGCTAGCCACTCGTTAGCCTACACAGCATTAGTACAACAAGGTGTTGTTTTCTCGGACCGGCCAAAGGCTGCGCAGACCAATGTAATCATTCACAGTAGCCGCATAAACATCTCCTCCGCCCCTTACGGCCCCTTATGGCGTCTCCTCCGTCGAAACCTTACCTCTGCTATCCTTCACCCTTCCCGCACCAAGTCCTTCTCTAAGGCCCGTTCTCGGGCACTGAGTGTCCTTGTTCAACAACTCCATTATCATTCTGATTCTGCCAAAGAAAATGTGATCAGGTTAATTGATCATTTTCAATATGCCACTATCTACCTTCTTGTCCTCATGTGTTTTGGGGACAAGATCGATGAGACTCAAGTTAAACGGATTAAAGATGTGCAACGAAGATGGATTGTAAGTGTGGGGCGGTTCATCAATCTCAGCTTCTTGCCAAGATGGCTTGAAAAGATAATTTTCAGAAGTCGCTGGAAAGAGCTCATCCAACTGCAACTAGAGCAAGAGAGGATCTTTATACCTCTCATCGAGGCTCGAAAGAAAGCAAAAAGTAGTAATAATTTGAATCATCATGAGGAAGAAGAAGTGATGGCTTATGTGGATACATTGCTGAATTTGGAATTGCCAAAGGAAAAGAGGAAGATTAATCATGGAGAGATTGTTAGCCTCTGCAGTGAGTTCCTCACTGCTGGCACAGATACTACGTCCACCTCATTACAATGGATTATGGCCAACTTGGTCAAATACCCTTCTATTCAGGAAAAACTATACCAAGAAATATCTGAGGTAGTAGTGCACAGAGGGAATCCGAAGCCAAAGGGATCAGTCATAGATCAGGGGGTAGTAAAAGAGGAAGATTTAGAGAAAATGCCTTACCTAAAAGCAGTGATCTTGGAAGGTCTAAGGCGGCACCCACCAGGTCACTTCCTGCAGCCCCACATGGTGAGAGAGGAAGTGGAACTCAACGGTTATGTCATCCCTAAGGATGCAACAGTCAATTTCATGATTGCAGAAATGGGTTGGGACCCATATGTTTGGGAGGATCCCTTGGATTTCAAACCAGATAGGTTCTTATTAGCGGATGGTAGTGATACAGAAGAGTTCGATATAACAGGGAGTAGAGAGATCAAGATGATACCCTTTAGTGCAGGGAGAAGAATATGTCCAGCCTATCGTTTGGCTATGCTCCATTTAGAGTACTTTGTGGCTAACTTGATCTGGCATTTTGAATGGACGACTGCGGATGGAGACAATGTGGATCTATCTGAGAAGCTGGAATTCACCGTTACAATGAAGAATCCATTGTGTGCTCGCATTCGTCCAAGAATAAATCAACTTGAATTATCTCCTAATTCTTGTTATGTAATATAGTGTGAGTTATTATGTTGTGTATTTGTTTGGTTTTCCTTTCTCATGAAGTTGTTGATGTTTCTCCAATAAGAAAGGATCAGGAAGAGAACTCAAATGTTTAATGGAGTACCTATTTAAAACCTTAAGGTCCTCAACCAAGATTAATAAACATCTAAAAATAATAATAAACTTTTAAAATCATGATATGGCCTTGTGGGGGTGCTTTATGCACGAAAGGTTTATTAGTAATAAGCTTGAGGGGGAGGATTCAATTGAAACCCCTTCAAACCATGTAGCTCTGCCACTGTATAGTAGGACAAGCATAACAGAAGTGGACACGATGAAACACATGAAGAACACGGAAGGAGCCGATTCGATACTAGGGAACCATTAGGGCTTCAGAAAGGAAGAGAATCATATAAAGTATTGAAGAATGCATAAAGTTCACAGCAAAATACACTTGTGGGCTCTTTGTTGCCAGGAGAACATTAGCACATTTTTGTACGGTTTATCTTGTACAAACAGCGAAAACACAAGATTCTGTTCACAAGCCTAAATATTCAGCTATTAGTTCAGACAAAGAACAACATAATTATGTCCATCTAATTATGCAATCTGTGGATCAGGAAGAGAAGCATGCCTTTTATGATGGATTCTTGAAAATGGCATTCTGGCTTTCGTTCAGGTTGCTTCCTACAAGACGGAAAAGCCCTTGCCCGTCACTTTGTTAGGATCATCGAAAGAAAATCTCTGCTGACTCCAATTCTCGGTTGGACTAGAAAAGTCTTGAGAAGATGTTATTCTTGAAGCAGAAACAATATGATCTCGAAGATCCTTGATCATTTTATATCTCTCGATCTCATCTCCACAATCCTTTTTCCATGCTTGAGAAGAGAAGTTTAGTATTCCTCCATTGTTATGAAAATTTGAGATTCTTCTATCCAAAGTGTTCACATTTTCTTTCTCTCCCACGGAGAATTCCCACTCTATGCCATCTGAAGTTTCCCTTCCTAAGGAAATGCTTTGTCTTGGGAATTTCTCCGAGATGGACCTCCTCTCTTTATTCTTATCAGAAATAGAAAATTCTGTATCATTCTGTAAAGCAGTGCACCATTGATAGCTCTTGCCATTATCACCCATATTTAATTCAATGGAATGAAGATCGCTATCAGCTGAATCATCCTTGTCTCCATTCTCTTCCTTATTGAGTACTTCTCCATCTGCCTTTTCTTTATCTTGGTAATGGTATGTGCTTAGAAGTGTTTCTCTCAAACATCTCTCGAGCTCATTGATCGTTTCAAAATTATGCGAATCACCGCCTTGTTCGTGGCCCTTTTTGGATCTCAAATAGGCTTCAAGTTCATTCCTTAACTTATCAACAACTGCATGTTTCTCCTCAAATTGATACTTGGCATCTAAAAGCTTTATTTGAACTCTTTCCTCGCGCATCACATCAGCTAGTTGAAGCATTTTCCGTTCCATCTCCACCTCTTCACTAATTTTAGCAGATTGTCTCTTCAATTCTTCCACCTCAGCTCTATCTTCTCCGAGACCTCTGGCTAATTCTTCACAGACTTGCTCCAATATCTCTCTGTCCTTCTTCTCGCCTTCAAGCTCTTTAACTGCCTTCGAAAGAGATGCCTTTGTATCCGCCAATTCTCTACCAAGCTTCTTATTTAATCTCTCAGTTTGGTTCCTCAGCTTCTTTTCTATCTTGAGCTCCCTCGCTACGGATGTAATGGCAGTATGAATGTTGTCTTGCTCTTTTATCTTCCAGGCCATCTTTTCTTCTTCAAACTTCTTCAAGAGGATATCAACTTCACTGTGGTTATATTTGTGTTCATGTATCAGTTTAGACACCTGATTACACAACTGGTCAAGCTCAGTTTTTATAGATGAGAAAAGGGATAAACATGTAGATTTCTGCTGTTCGAGATTCCAGACATGACTCAGAACATGCAACAGCTCTTTAGATGTGGTAAGGCCATTATAAACATCCTTCAACCGTTCTCTGCTTAGAGTTTGTGCGTGATTTTGTGTCTGATCAAGCTGCATATTCATTCTTGTATTAGCCATATATTTCAATGCAAAGTAGCTAACAGAAAGTAGCAGCAGTTGAGGGTAGTGATAGATTCGGAATTCTTACAAAAAATATTCCACGACAGCAAAAATTCAAAATTACATCAATTCAGCGTTGGAAAACAACATATGGCCTGTCGGCTTTGATAGAACCTGAACTAGAACCAAGTCACATGTCTGTCCCTTTGTTCATAAAAATTTTGTCTATTTCCTAAGATGAATTTTAAAGAGGCCAAGGAGTACATCCAAATTTCATTACTGTCATTTATAGTGACAAATCTTAATCGGCCCGTTTTACCACTTTCTTTCATAGCAGATCTTATGCACTGTTCAGATTCTCAGAATGGAAGTACCTTAGTCAGAAAAAATCAGTGGTAATCTTTTAGGCCATACAGAATGTAACCTTTGCCCCGAAATCATTCCGAACTAAGAAGTTGCAACTACTTGCAAATAGAGCACTTAAAAAGAGAAGTGAAGTGGAAACTTTGGATAAGGTACACCAACAACTTTGCCTCAATTTCAAGCAAGTTAGGTCAGCTATATGAATTTTCATTAACTATGTTGCTCCCAATATTTATATGAATCCTCGCTAATCAAGTAGCTCCAATATTTAAAATCCAATACTTTGGATAAGGTGCTGCGACTAAACCACTATATAAAACAGCTCCTAATTCTGATTAACAATGGATTAATATTTTTAAGGAATAATAGAATGAGTACCTCCATAAAGCAACCATTTTGGAGACAAAAATCAGCCTTCATAAGTTTTCTTCTTCTATGACTACCCACTTCGGATCGCTCCATTCTCTGCAAAATTCAAGAGATAAAATACACGGTAGTGAGGAAAAAACCACAATATGCAGAACTCAAAGCTACATAGTGTTCCAAGAAAATGACCGACAAGAACCAATTTTCCTAGCAAAATTAGCACTCACCTCAGAAACAGGGGCATGAAACGGATCAGAGAATTGCAGAGCTACTGAACCCAATTTAGATGACTTCAAAATTCTTTCTTTTTTAACCAATTCAACATCATTCTTTTCCTCCAAATCCTCATTCACTTTAGAAGCAGCAACCCCATTAATTTCCCGGAGAGTGGCCGCCAGTTTTCTTGCTGAAACTGACAAGTCTTTATTTTTATTAGAGCCCTTTGTTTGCATAAACTTGTAGTTCGAATTATCTTTCTGCAGGGAAGGTGATTTTAATGAGTTCATTTTCCACTATGGAACTGGTGTACGTACTGCTTCACCCTCCTTAATTTCTTCCCCAATTTCTTTTAGGCTTAACAAATGTGGGGTTTCATCAAGCTGGCAACTTTTTCTTGAATTTTTTTGGGAAGGGAAATCAAGTATTACAAGTGTTAAAGTTACCAGTCAAAAAGAGGGAAGAAGAGAAGTGAGAAATATGTTAGGGAAGAAATAATGGAGTCTTGAACGTACCCCTTTTAGGCTTTTGCGCATTTCGAAAGAATGATTGGCATGCAAATCAGAGCCCTTAAATATTCGCCTTTGCATGTACTGTCACACTTCTTTAGTTATAACAGTATGATTATACGACATTTATTCACCGTAAAAGCTAAGTTTTCATCGGAATCAATTTTTTAAGTTATATTTTATCTCTCTATAATAATTTTTTATCTGTAACAGCAACAATCAAGTTTATAGCAGAACGCTCTTTGTAAAATTACCTCTCTATAACAGCCATATAGAATCTTTAAGGTTACTAATAAGAATTCTAAAAATATGCACACAATCTTTTCCGGTTCACAAAGTTTCTATTTTGCATAAAACATAAGATTTGAAGATTTGCACATATTGGACAAATGCCAAAAAGTATTTAGGTAGAAGATTTAATTGTTAAGCTCTTAGACTGTCTTCAATGAAAGCTATTGGATGCCTTTTTGCTGAAAATTTGGATGCGAATATTCGCCAATTCAAGCGTTATATCACTAGTAAGAGAATGAAATTTACGAAACAAGTTACAATTACAAAGTTTTTCAATTAATCTTGAAAGAATTTATTTTTCTAAGTAGCTTTAAATGTGTGCCTTAGAGTTTAAATCTATATACATTTAGTTATGAATTTATTAATAATATATTTGCTTTCTTCAATATGTAACTAGTAAAATATGCATATCTTTGAGATTTTAAATTTGAATAATTTTATTATCTTTTATATGTAACATTCTAAAAGGAAAAATAATTGATATTTGGATAATTTTTATCTATAATGGCCACAAAATATTTAAACATCAAATGTTATTATAGGTGTATAACAGTCATTTACTATAAAAATAAAAAAATATCGGAACAAACGAGACTGTTATAGAGGGTCGACTGTATAATGGGAAAAGAATGTGGAATAGTCTAGTGGTAGACATATTTGCACTGGCCTATATATTGTGAAATCATCTCCAACTAAGTGAATATTTATAACACTATTTATAAGTGGAGTACTTATGAACAAATTTCATTATCCACCAATAATACCAAAACTATCTATTGAAACCGGAGAAAACTCATTTTCCATGTTATTTCTCGTCCAAACTTTTTATAAGATCATGGATTTAAATACAATAACAATAAACCCAGTAAATTTTCACAAGTGGAGTTTGAGAAAGGTAGAATATACGCAGTTTACCCCTACCTTGGAGACCAGAGATCCTGTTTTTGATAGACTCTCAACTAAAAAAATATGGATTTAAATATAATTTTTTTTAAAAGGTGAATTAAGATGTTAGGTTGAGTGAGGAGTACATCGCACTTGTTGTTTCTTTTATGACAATGAGTCCGAACTAAGTATTATTACATGAGTTTGACTAATATTTGTCGACACTAAAAAGAATTTTTATACTATAAAGTAACCTTCAGCCGTTACAATTTGTAAACCTGGTAATTTTAAAAAAATTGTATGTGTCGATGTACATAAATTAAACTATTATTATAGTAGTATTTTCTAGTGAATTGTTAGTTCAAGTCCTATACAATCAGGGGCGGAGCCAGCATTGTGGCTCAGAATTTGGCGAACCCAGTAATTTTGGTTTAATTCCTGTATTTATTTTGAAAAATTCATTAATTAGTTATAAATTAATAATTTAGAACTCAGTAACTTAAAAGACTTAAAATGCTGAACTCATAAACTTAAAATTATGGTTTTGCCTCGGTATACAATAGATGTGGCTGCCTTCGCTGTAAAAAAAAAAATTACAACCGCCCTTGGTATAAAACTTATGTTCCAACTCATTTACTAGCTAACCATTTTTCTTCGATCAAGTATAATAGTTGCTTGAAAAGAAAATAGTATCTTTAAATCTGTATTCGTATTAATCGAACCGAAGATTGAATGCAATTGTAGCCGTTGCTGATAGCTTAAATTGGCAAGATTTTCTGAAAAGAAGGAAGGGCCCCATTTAACGGCTTAAAATGTTACGGATATTGGCGAGAATTTAGAAAATTTCTCACGAAACACCAACATTCAGTAATTGGTGTCGGTCGTCTAACATACGCCTCCCCACATGATCACGCGTGTCCAATGTTTATATCAAATTATACTAATTTATTATAATTAAGTTATAGTAAATTATAATGAGAATATGTATTAATTAACTATAATTTAATGATATATGTGAAGTGAAGGAAAATAATTGTTTTCCACAATTTTTTACACATGTAAATAGCTAATAGCACCCATATTTATAATAGTACGAAAACTACTTTAATACAAATAGAAAAATTTAGTCCTATATAAATTTAACTACAAATAAATTTTAGACATGAATTAAATAAACTAGCAAATATGAAGTTCTAAATAATTTAGATTTCCTACTACAACTTTAAACTAGTTTTTCAACATTCTCCCATAATTTAAAGTTGTATAAGTGTGACTTTTTTGTTTTTGCGTTTGGGGCACGCGCCTCCGGCTTTCACTTGTTGATGCACTATTCATCAACCTTCAATTGTTGAAGCACTTTCTCTTCAATCTTTAATTGTTGGAGCACTTTCTATTTAACCTTCCAATTGTTGAAGCATTTTCTCTTCAACTTTCAATTGTTATAGCATTTTCTCTCCAACTTAATTATTGAAATGTAATGATCCGACCGGTCGTTTTGAGCTCTACGCGTCATTCGGTTGTTTGAGGCCATGAGCAGCTTCACTTCGGGTATTATGACTTGTACGCGTGGTCGGGCGGGAAGTTCGGAGTTGATTTGGAAAGAAAATTCTAATTTCGGAAGCTTTAAGTTGGAGAAATTGACTAAGGTGTGATTTTTGAGTAAACGACCTCGAAATCTGGATTTAAGGGTTCCGACAGGTTCGTATTATGATTTTGGACTTGGGCGCATGTCCGAATCGGGTTTTGGATGACCCAGGAGCATTTCGGAGCCTATTGTGGAAGGTTGGCGTTTCGGAAGAATTTCATAAATTTGGGTTGAAGTGTATTTCAATGTTATCGATGTTCGTTTGGGATTTCGAGTCTGGGAATAGCTCCGTATGGTAATTCTGGTATTGGGAGCGCATCCGAAAGTGGATTCGAAGGTACTTAGGTCATTTTGGGGTCATTTGGAATAAGTTAGAAATCTGAAGGTTTATGAGAAGTTTGGCTGGGAGTGAACTTTTTGATATCGGGGTCGGATTCCGATTCTGGAAGTTGGAGTAGGTCCGTAATGTCGAATGTGACTTCTGTGCAAAATTTGAAGTCAATTGGACGTGATTTGATAGGTTTCGGCATTAAATGTAGAAGTTTCAAGTTCTAAAGTTCATTAAGCTCGAATCGGAGTGCGATTCATGATTTCGATGTTGTTTGATGCGATTTGAGGCCTCGAGTAAGTTTGTGTTATGTTATGGGATAGGTTGGTGTGATTGGACGGGGTCCCGGGGGCCTCGGGTGTGTTTCGGGGTGGTTTCGGATCGAATTTGGATGAAAAGTTGTTGCTGGTTTGCTGGTGTTGTCTTTCGCGAACGCGGGTGAAGGGGCGCGATCGCGAAGAAGGATTCATGGGCTGGTGATTTTTGCCCTACGTGAAGGAGGTGATAGGCCTGCGAACGCGTAGGTGGGCATGGCAGTGCTTCGTGAACGCGGAGGCCCAACCGTGAACGCGAAGAGGAGATGAGGGAGCGGGGCCTGGAGCAGTTGGCCTTCGCGAACGCGAAGGGTGGTGGTCTCAAATGTTCGCGAATGCGAAGAGAAAATTGGCGGCAGTGTTTCTTTGGCCTTCGCGATCGCGATGGTCTTTCCGCGATCACGAAGGAGGTTGCCTGGGTAGTGAGGTTTTAAAAATGGGAGTTTGGCCATTTTCATTTCATTTTCCTCCATGGGAGCCGGCCTAGGAGCGACTTTGGAGCACCACTTTCATAACCAAGCATGAGGTAAGTGATTTCTACCACTTGTGAGTTAAATATACGAATTTAGGCATGAAAATCCATGAAAAATTGTAGAAATTTGAGATTTTGAAGAAAAACCTAGAAATTGGTATTCTTGGATTTTGATCATGAAATTGAGAATAAATTACATATTTGAGTTCGTAGTACTATGGGTAGTGCTTGTCTTCGAAAATTTTCGAAATGCGGGCACGTGGGCCCGAGGGTTGCTTTATCGATTTTTCGAGCGGAGTTGAAAATTATTATAAATTGATTAATTATGAGTATTAGAGTATATTTTAATTGGGTTGCATCTTAATTGACTAGTTTTAGATCGGCGGTCACCGGTTTGAGGTGTTAGGGCGGTGTTGGAGCTGGTTTTAGAACGTCGTAGTTAGGTAAGTCTCTTGTCTAACTTTGTGAGGGAGAAACTACCCCGAGGTGGTATATTTTATTACTCCTCCTATGGCATGTTTCCGTGATATATATATATACTTCATTGAAAGATTTTTGTTAAAGAAATTTTAACTCACACGTTTATTCGTGAGTGGGGTCAAGGACCCGTCAAAGCTTCTTGTTCTAATGGGATGGGGTCGTTCGCCTCGGCAGGATTATGTATTTTACTCTTATGGGATCGGGCAGATCGCCTCGGTAAGATTTATGTACCACTCTCATGGGAGCGGGTCGTTCACTTCGGCAGTTTAATAGATGCATCTATGGTTCGTGTCGTTCGACCCTCGGCAGTGCACAGTTTAAATATTTATGTTGGATCGGGCCGTACACCTCGGCATTTCCTATATCATATCCTCATGGAATCGTACGTAATATTTGGCAAGAAATTGGTGATTCTGCGAGTTTTCCCATATCTATTATTGTGTGTTTTGCTTCTCATTTCCTGAGGAAGGTTCATAACACCCTTTCGGTTGTTTAATTAGTCACGTGGGTGGAGTAGTTCTTTCCAGAGTTCATTTTTTCTTATGTATCACATTCGAGTTTTTAGCTTGTTGGCACATTGTGGCATCATATGAGACTTTTGACACTGTCTGAGGTGGCTTATTGCCTGAGCAGCTTGTACTGGGTGAGACGAGATTATTGGACCAGGGATTAGTGCGATCATATTT